TAAATTTGTAATGTCTTTTCCGTATATTTTGTATCACTCTGCTCAATCAGAAATCCCATGTATCATCAACTATCTTCAGATAAGTAAATTAGATTCTAAACATCACATGCTCTGTGTGTGGAACATTTAAGAAGCTGGTCAGAGAGTACTGGACTCTTGACACTATTCACACATCAGAACAAACTGGGAGATCAGTCTCTGGTAACCAAAAAGCTCATGTATGGCAAAGTTTCCTCTATTTTGATATACCATGCATAGACACAGTTGCCAAAGTGCTCAAAACACCATATTTTCTCTCAATTTCAACAGTTCAGCTTCCTTTTTCTTAATCTTCTTCCATGCTGCATCTGGACATAAATTACATTAAATGAAACATTTATCTGAAAATGCCTAAACCCAAGAATATGTCTTTGCTGGTAATCCTGATTCAGGAGACTTTGAAGTCCATCAAACTAACTGTAAGAATACATAGTCTATCTATAAACACAGCATTGCAAGCAAAGGCTATTATGAATGCTATGAATGCAACTCTGTAGCTGTGCTCCTCAAAGATATATTTATAAGCAATTTTGATCATAATTGCAATCAGATGAAAACTCAGTGCTCAAAAATACATTTATGTACACAGGTGGCCAGAATCTCAGAATTAAGAAACATTGCCATGAAAGGAAGTCAAATAAAGCAGCAATATAAATCACCCGAGCTAGAAAAAATAGAGTAATTAACCTGTTGCTTCACTAATCTGTATCTATTTTCCAGTATTAGCATCATGTGCTAACAGCATAATCACATTACAAAAAGCTAGAAGTTACCGAGTGAGAGGCATCTGCTTCACCCAGATGTAGACCAGAGCAGGTATATACTATTTTACCCCACTCCATCAGAGAGGCAGCAGATCCCACCTTCAGCCAGTACCATTTAGACTGCAACAGTTCCTGAAACACTTCATGCCCACGAACTGGAAATGGAAGCATGGACAGCTGTCAGTCAGCTCAGTTCAATGCAAAAAAAGACAATTTAATTGATGCTATTGGTTGTGAGAACTACTATCTAATTGTTGATCATTTTAGGAAGTAATCGGGTAAGCCAAAACATGTATACACTTTTCTTGACCAAAAGGCCAAGTGTCAGAAGACAAAAATGGGGTGCATTTGACCTAACTTTAAAAATGAATGACAACAGACACCTAAGTCTGACCCTGCAATTCTTGCTTTCTACCATCACTGGAAAAACACAAACTCTTCCAGAAAATAGCTTATCTAAAACACTCTGCTTGCCTGGTTTAGGGTGAGATCTTAGGGAATCTCTTGAGAGCAGCTTCACAGCTTCAGCTTTAGGCACTTTTTAGATATTTAAACTAGATCGATCAAACTTCCTCCAGCAGTTTCTACAACAGAAATTCACACCTGAAGACTAGCAATCTGTGTGAAAGTCTATACCTCAGTGACACCTAAAAAACATCTCAGGCAGCATTAAGAGTTTAATTATGCATCCAAAATTAACAATAGGACAATTACTAATGGTGTATTATTCGGTTCTATATTTAATTCAGTAGACCTGCTTATTTATCTCTCTGAAATGATTCACAGAATTTCCATTGTTGGCTGAGAAGTTTCAGAATCCAGCGTACCACAAATATGCTGAGAGAATAGGCTCAGCATCAGACCACAACCACCCACCCACACCCAACCCAGTTTCTGAAGCCAAGCATTGCTGCAGGAGTTAGGATTTCCAACTGGAATAGGTTTAATATCCTTTTAAATGGGCATAAAACATCACTATGCCAGCCAGCCTGGCTTCCTTCAGCAGAAAAAGCATACATCCGCTTTGTGGTTGTCTGGCTTGTATCAATGTCAGTTTGGTACAATGACATTTGAAACTATGGATAGGGAAATCTATTTTCTTGTTTACAGCATCATGGTTCATGCACTGGAAAGACAAATATGAGCAACATACTTCTGCAGATAACCTAAGTAAAGATTCCACGGGATGTATATCTGTAGGTGTGTGTGCGCGTGCATACATATGTACATACAAGAGAGTAAGAATGCCAGTAAAAGCTACATTAAATATCTACAGCTCACTTCCTATGAGAATGCAATATATGAAGAATTTAAAAGGTTTATTAATGCAACAGATAAAGATTATTTTTTTTTTCTGGAGTGAGAAAACACAATGAAAGGCTTGGCTGGTTTCTCAAGGACTTCAAAAAGACATGCCAGTAAACCTAGGGCTCTTGAATGTGGATCTAGAAAAAAATACATTGACTTTCAGTGAAAAAGCATATAACTTTCAGTGCACACCTTCTGTCAGTTTGAAAGAAACAGAAGCTCTTCAACAGCTCAAAACCTGTTAAAAGCGACTGCATCTATCATACAATGAGGAAAACTTTACAAAAAATTAAATAATTATTTCTAATTTTAAGAAGTGAACTGATGCTAAATCCTAAAACATAGATTTGTTCAGTCATGGATACAGCCAAACTCTCAATGAACTGTTAAAGCCCATGCAAACCAAGTTACTTGCATTCTCCCTCGAGCACTGATTTGCCTTAGTTTGATATGCTAGATTTTCTAGTTCTTCAACTCTACAGAGCATATGTTCTTTGCTAATAGAAGATAAAATGCAAAGGTAGCAGAAGTGCCAACCTAAATGTTGAGATTTTTTTAAACCTAAAAGAAAAGAAAGCAAATATTCAACATGACTCCCAATCAGGGCCTTTGCAATAGGTGGAAATTTTCCTCTATTGATAACAATGCTGCAAAAACAAGAGTTAGTATTTCAGATTAAGAATACATTGATATGAACCTTTAGCCAACTGTTGAGAACACTAAAGTAGCTATTCAGTAATCTAATAATGTAGTTATTAACAGGAACCAAGTAATTTATACAGGGATTACAAAAAACAAGTAAAAAGGGTATTGAAAAAGAATAAATGGGGAACATCTTGGTCTACGCTAGGAAGACAGTGCCCTTTTCCCCATCAGTGACATAGTGTTCTCCCTCAGCATCAAAAGATTTTTGTGTGTTGTCTCTTCATACCATAACACTGCTTTTGCAGTTCTGATACCTACCAGGTCAGACTGAAAAGGTCAACAACTATTTAAACTGACAAGACAAGAGAAAGGAAAATGAGGAAAGAATCGGGCCTTCCTATACCCAAGAGACAAAACCAAGTCAGGGTGAGCATTAAGCTACTAAACTAGCCCTAGCATCAAACAGGCTACCCATAAAATGCTTTGGCTTCAGGGAGCTGTGGACCACTGCTTACATATGAAAGTTCAAGAATTGCACAACTTCATCCCAGGAGAGACCTGATAGCCTTGATGATTTAGGAGTGTAGGTAACAAAACAACCAGTCCATTATTATAACAAAGGATCTTGGAGGTACAACAGCAATGCAAATAAACCGACATACTAATGGCACATTGGGAAGAAGGCACTTTTCAGCACACACCAATAAATGTTATAACAGGAAACAAGTGAAAATACAAAGCCCTTCTCTTGTCTCCTTTGGAAAAGTAAATTATGAGTATATTTTCATTTCTCTAATTCCAGGAAAAGTCTTCTTTAGAAGTTCTGCAAAACAAGGTAGCCAAACTCAAAACCTGGCAAAAGACCTCATCCACATACTTGAGCACAGGAGAAGCAGGTGCTTCCCTGTGCTGGGAAGGGAGCCGAGACGGATGCACAGGACTACGAATCTCAAGAGCAGAGCCAAGGATTCAAGCAGCACTGCGGACATGCTGACTGGGGCCTCTTTTTGCCACAAAATGTAGGGGAACAAAAAAACACATTGGACAGAATATTCAACAGCACACCACCAGGCTTCTGTAGCACAGGCTGATGATTCAGGCATCCTCAGGCCTCGGTCACAGGAAACCATGCATTAAGATAATATAGTCAAAGCAGACCTAAAACAGAAAAGAGACTTAACAGCACAGGCTTCAGGAGCAACTTCAGAGAGGTGCAGAGACACAGGACAAAACCAGCAACAAGACTTTAACAAAACTCATATCAATACTGGCACATTCAGAGAAGATTGTAGATTGAAAGGAAACTCACCATCTCCCCTTCTTTCTAAAGGGTTGACATCTCCTTGAGCATTTCAAACAAAAAACATACTTAATTTTTCTAATTTTATATCACTTGAGGCATGAAGTGGTAGTGAAAATAAATGACAAGTCCCATGTCTGTTAATGTTCAGTAACACGTTCGTAAGATTTCACCCCATGCCTGATCATAGAAAAATTACTAACGTGCACTTGAATATACTGAATGAATTTTCCTTCTTAAAATCATTTCTAGAGAAGTTGAGGATTTCATTCATGGAAACAAAACCTAAAATGAAAGGATCACTTAAGATTGCAAATTATGAACTCTTAAACTGCTTAGACTTCTTTTTCTGCATGAAAAGAAAACACAGTTAAGGAAAACACATGAAACTGGTTATTACAATGAAGTAGAACCCCAAATCCACATTTAATTGTTTTGTCTGCAGTAGCTGAAGGAACTGCAGAAGGCTGTAACTCGTTAGGATTCAAGACATCACAGGACATGCTTCCTTCCTGTGTCCCTGACCAACCTCTCTGTCCCAGACTTCATCTAGCACTTTTCTCGTCTGACCTGTCTGTCCTCAATTCTAATTCTCAGCAGAGGTAATCCATTCTTCTTATAGACTGACTAAAAGCAATAATCTTTGTCCGCTACTGTGAGTCTGCAACAACTGCAAGGAATCTCTATAATAAACTTCTCCATCTGGCCTAAAAATAACTGATTTTGCAGAGAAAATTCTTACACAGGACTCTAAAACATGCTTATGTATGAAGTACTCAATGAATTTTACAGTTTCCACAGAAAACTCTATAGTTTCTTTACTAGGAAAAAACACATTTCTAATTTCAAAAGCTCTTAGACGCACAGCAACTAACAGCCCTTATAGACAGAGTTCCTATTACAGTAGGAATTGCTATGGATTTACTTCCTGGAAATATTTTCCTGACTTCTGGGAGCTTAAAAAACAAAATACGTAACTTGACAAACGATGGGGTTTTTTTAATATAGGGCATGTGAGGAAGTTCTTTTACTATATTAAAACATACTTAGTAATAGAAGCATATGTAAAGATGGGGTGGGAACAAGACTCAACAACAGGAAAAAAAGGACTCTTACCATATGTATCAGTCATTACCCAGGTTTCAGCTTCCGTACTGACTCCTGACCAGCTTACCTCTTAACTACTTTCCCTTTGACTAGGAACTAAGCACCTTCTAGTCTCGCAATCTGATCTACATGAGCTGTCACTTGCACCTATCCAACTCCATTGCAAAACTGTGAACCAAGTCAAAAGGTTTACCAGAAATATGTTAAAAATAAATTATTTCCCTTTATTGTGCTTGCACTATACAACCACACTTCACAGAAGACTAAAGTTGTTTAACTCTGAAACTCAAGTGTTTCGTTCTGCTCTCAGCTTTACAGCATATAGAATCTTGAAGAGCATTATGATGCCATAAATATGGCCACTTCACCATTGTACCCATCTTTCTGGTCACTGGACTGACTACTTTGCTTTTTATTTTGGAAGAGCTTTTATTTTGACTTTTGCACTCTCTTAGAAGATCTACAAGTAGATTTAAGAAGAACAGTGTGACAAATTCAAAAGGGTTTTCAGGCATGGCAGAATACTACTACACTCCACAGACTTCTCACTAGGGAGAAGCAATAGATTTTTTTCCATGTCAATCTTCCTCTCATACACCAGCATTATCTCTGACTGATCTCTGAGCATTTTAGTTACCTCTGAAGATAATTACTATTTTAAATTAACAAGTACAGCTGCAGTTGAGGAGAGGACTCATATTTAATTGACAACAGATCATTTGGGAAAAGAAACAATATCAGAAATCAAATCCATAGTTTAATGGGCAACCATGGCAGATCACAGGTGAAGTTTATTGCACACGAAGTATCCAAATGGAATTACTTTACCTGTAGGCTCAGGCAGTGAGACAGAGGCCTACTGCCCTATGTGCAACACAGACACAAGAATTATTGAATCTAAACAGGAGGAATGAGGACAAAAAATAAGCTGAGGAGTAAAAGATGATGTCTCTTAAAGCAATCTGAACTTAATAGCACATAACCATTCAACACAATCTTATTCCTCTGTCCTAAGAGTCACCCTAATCCTGAAAAAAGGTACATATATCTGCAATTGACTGTAAGCAGAGTTTAAATAAACTTGTCCTAGGTTAAAAAAATTAGTCAGAAATTACATATATTTAACCCAACTGCCTCCACCATTTTCACCAGATGAAAGGTTTAATTGTCACTAACTGCTGCTGACACTCCCAGGATCTCTGTTTTTCCCAGTATAACACTCACTATTCCCAAAAGGTGGTGCAGGATTTATAGGTGCTGTAAAGTTTTTCAACGTTCTTTTACACGGAGATGTATTTCCCTTGCAGCTTTATGTAACTTTATTTACTTTACATCTCTAAAGCTTTGAATTTATTTTAGTAACACCTGTCTGAAAAGCCATTGCAAATCAACTCTTACAGAATCTGTGCTAATGCACAACTGGGTTATTGTCACCACTTAAAAAGCTTAAATGGAAAGAACTATACCTTGCAAGGGCACATATTGCTTCACAGTCACTAAATACATCTCAGTCTTTATCAGCAAAAATCTGCCTGTATGCTATTTCTTCTATTACACTTACAAAAAAAATTAAAGTACCTACTTACATGGAATTCATATGCATGAAAAAATTTGTTTAAAGCTTGGATTTCTCTTAATCAAAAAGAATTATAATGACTTAAAGTCTCATATGAAAAGCAAGAAAGATACATTGTCTGAGCAAGTTTTTCATACTAGGACCATCTAGAACAAACAATTAAGAGAATATGTAATCAACCTGCAAAGGAGCAATTTCATTTTTTCTTACAGATCCAATGTTGAGTATATAAATAGAGCAAGGAGTATATGTATTTGGTTTTGTTATGAAAGGAATGCTGATTTCTTTTTTTAAAGAAGCTTTTAACCAGGTAGTCCAAATGCACATTTATCTAAGGCACACACATTGCCCTCATTATCACAGTAACTGAGCACCTTAAAATTCCTTCTTTGCGCTGCTAACCCTTACTACCTGTGGGAAGATTATGCAGGTTGCCCTTGTACGATTAGCAGTTAAGTATATACATAAAAATAGAAGCATATAATAAAAAATGCCCTTTGCAGCCTATACAAATAAATTTGTGAGCAGTTTTCTCTAAAGAAATCTCTATAGATGGCTGCTACACTCACTATATTCTGGGTGCAAAACCACCAAAGCTGGCTCTGCTCAGTCAGATCAGGTCTAGGAGCAAACCACCAACACTTAGGCTAAATCAGACCAATGAGAACCACACCGTTAAATGAACCGTCAAGTCCCAAAATGGTACTTTCACACTGCTGTCCTGTACTTCCCACTGGAGAATGCTGCTCACCTCAACACTGCTAAACCAGGCCCCTGCTGGGTCAGACAATCCTTTGGAGGATATATTGGTGTTTTTCTGTCCCATATGCTTGAACAGCCTTCAAGTCAGGCTTCAAGAGAAGATGAAGCGAGCACAGGTCTCATCATGCCAGGCTTCGGATACAGCTAGAGTCAAGTGTTGGGATTTGTTCCTAAATTTCACAGTGTAGAGGAAACCTAACTTAGTGCAGGGTCCCACAGGGAATTGGTAGCAGATGAAGATCCCTATTCATGTTTCAGACGAGCACTCTGACGATAGGGTATTCTAATTCAAAGACATACCTATTGTGTTCAAACATCTATCATGCTCACCAGTCCCTGGCTGCCTTCAGTTATTCTTTTGCAGTCTTTTTATAATCTAGCTTCTGGTACAAAACAAGACTTAGTAATGTTGACAGATCATATCATAGATCCAGTGGCTGTCCTGAGATCCAAAACCAGATGAAACCTAAAAAAAAATGCCATTTACAATAAAATAAAAATACTTAAGGAAGTCAAAGACTTATACAATGCAAATCAACCGGGGGTGGAAAAGTAACATATTCACAGATTAGGATCTGTGTCAGAAAAAAACCAGATATTTCTAGCAATAAAAACCCCTTGAACTTGCATTGATCTAAATGAGTAATAACCCTATTAGATGCTCCTCACTTTGGCCAGCATTGGAAACAGGAGATCCAAAGCCCAGCAAAGATCTGTCTGAAAGTTCAACTCCACATGAAGGAGACTTCCCATAGCCCAGGCCACACAGAAGACAGAACCATTTTATGAAAACGCACTTGAGAACCACATGAAATGGCTTTTCTAAAGGAATGATTAAATAAACTTAAGAATTCAGCTTGGCAAAAAGACAGTGGCAGAGGATAATACAGGTCTGTCAAGGCATGACTGCATATCAAGGGTGAACAGGGAACAATTCTTCACATTCTCCCAAAACAGGAACTGGGGGAGGGGAATCAAACTAAACCGTGAAGTAGCAAGCTCAAAACCAAATAGAGGTCCTTCTTCAAGCACCTGTGGAAGTCACAACCACAAGATGCTGCAGACGTAGAGTTTACCTAAACTCATAAAAACCCACTGCAGGTGATCCATTACAAAGGGAAGTCCTTAGTTCTGACCAGCGGGGTGGGAGCTAGGAGAATAAGTCATAGGAATATCAGTACTTGTTTGACCTGTTATTTTATCGAATGTAGCAGGTCAGACGTGGTTTCTGATCATGCTAAGCCCTGGCACAGAAAGAGGCTGTAGGATCTTTGACCCATACTAACACTAGCAGAGCAGCAGAGTACATGGTCATAATTCAAGCAAGCCTTTAAGATACAAATGAAGGTTAGTCATTTGACAGAAAATAGCTTGAAACCAGTTAAACCAGTTCAGCATCTCCTTTTCTGCTCCTCCATGTCCAAAGACTGAGAGTTTCATAGTGCACTCTCCAAGGAATAAGGCAGTCCCTTCTCCCCATCTTAGCCCAAGAAAAGGCATTTATTGTATTGTATATTGTATTACTAATTCTTAATTAAAGAAATCCTTGTTATTTTCTTGCATGGACCTTGCTCTTGACAGCTGCAGAAAACATGAGGTGTTTAGGATCACCTATACATGTATTACAATAGCCATCATAAATTCCCAAGAGCAGAACTGCACCGGCAAGAACTAACCAACCATAGGGGAAAAAATCTAACCACTGGTATCTGCTTCACAAATCAAAAGTATCAGATGTATAACCTGATGAGGAAATAAGGGCTTTTTCATATGATATTTAGCAACTGAAATCTAAACAATATTGAGGCAGTGAAGTTAACACGTCCTTTTCCCTCAGTAACACCCACAACTTAAATTATCAATTACCACACAGTAATACAACTTAATATATTGTGTAACAACCAGATACAGCAGATAAAAGAAAATAAGGACCAAGACACAAAAGTACAAAACCTACATTTTTCAGATTCCAGTTCTGGGCCCTGACACAGACTCCCTACACCACCCTGGAAAAATCATTTGCTGCCTCCATGTTTCAAATTCTATACATAAGATGGAGGTAACACCACTTCATTACCTCATCATCATCTTGCAACAATAAACCAAAGATTGTGAAATGTCTGCAAATTTGTGGGATGAAGGTCATACAGAAGCCTTCCATAGGTAAGAGCAATAAACATTTTTAGCTAGTGTTCAAGTATTTTCTTATCCTTACAGATGGACCACTCTTGCAGCTTTAAGTCACCAAGTGAGCTCCAGTGAGGCTGCCAAGGAAAAACTCTGTTTGCCTGTTTACTCTGTGAACTAGGATGAAGTGACAGTATTGACATTCTCACGTTAAGAAAAAATTAATGTAATATGCATACTTTAGTAGACTAAATGCCTGACAGGGGGTTCTTTCTGGAATATGAAAGGAAGCTTGTAGGCTTCTTGCTATTTAATAGTGCCACAGAGATTATCAGCGTACTACAACATCACAAAATTTGTTCACAGCGGGTAAAGTTCCCACCCTGCAGTGAACCAACAAAAGACCACTTAAACCCCAATTTCAGCCTTCATGGTTGAGCCAGTGACAGAACCCTGTTAGTACTACACAAGGGTATCTTTCTGGACCAGAATATAAAAAGCACTTCTGTTTTAAGGGCATTCCCTTCGAGGCATTTTTGGTTTCACACAGAAAAAAGTCAAGGGAATCCGTTATAATCAATCTCTCTTATTTACACTTGTTGATTCAAGTAAAACTATATGGTGGTACATCCCTGTATTTCTGTGATTTCTAAAATCAGGAAAACAGACAGAAATCGTCTGTTTTGTTAAAATAAAATCGTATCACACTGCGCTTTTGTACCCAAACAGGTATGAAGATACACTAGGTCCAGAGAGCGTGCTCTTCCATGAACCAGGAAGCAAACAACGGCACTTCACCATTTCTGAAAGTCAGTCAAGCAATTAACAAATGTGAAAACTGAAAACAAGATTAGCATTCGAGAGAGATTCCAGTAAGTAGCCATGAGATGATCTGTGAGTATTAAGAAAAAAAAAAATCAGCTTGCTGGTAAAGCTATGCTTTCAAAGATTAGTTACGGGAAAAAAAATAGGCTCCTTAAAAGACAGGATACAAAAATCACACACTGAAGAGTAGAACAAAGGAGTGTAAGAAGTCAGCGCCAAGTGCTAGGGTTCTGCTTTTCTCTCTCGTACAAACATACGCCGTTAAACCTCACTCTCTCTGTCCCTGGCTGGGGATCCGCAGGATCATCCCTGCGCCTACCGAGCTTCAACCGGAGGAGTGGAAAGTTGGATCCGTAACAAAGATCATTTTTCCACCGACAGTTTAATTTTAGAAAGGCGCTAACAAAAGGCACCGCTCTAAACACCCCAAAGGCGTTATTTCCCTTCCCAATTCAAAGTCCGCTTCCTTTTAGGGACACGATGCCGCGACACAACCAGGGCCGTATTCGGCCGCTTTAGCCGAACAAACAGCTTTTCCTGCCTAGAAAAGGCCACCCCGCAAGCCGACGCCACGGAAAGGCAAGAGGGCAGCGCCCGCGGAAAGACCGCAGAGCCCCGAGACCCCGGGACGGGCGGGCTGGCACCTGC